GAAACAGAATGCTTTAGAGCAGTGTTTCTCAACCTTCCTAATGCCGCAAGCCCTTAATACAGTTCCTCATGTTGTGGTGACCCCCAACCATAACATTATTTTCATTGCTACTTCAGAACTGTCATTTTGCTCCTGTTACGAATTTTCATGTAAATATCTGATATGCAGGATGGATTTTCATTCACTGAACCAAATTTGCCACATATACCCAATATGCCCAAATATGTATACTGGTGGGGTTCGGGGGGTGGGATTGATTTTGTCATTTGGGAGTTGAAGTTGCTGGGATTTGCATCACCTACAATCAAAGAGCATTCTGAACTCCACCAGCGAAGGAATTGAACCAAACTTGGCACACAGAACTCCCATGACCAACAGAAAATACTGGAAGGGTTTGGTGGGCATAGACTTTGAATTTCTGAGTTGTTATGAATTGTAATGTTAGTATCTGATATGCAGGATGGATTTTAATTCACTGGACCAAACTTGGCACAAATACCCAATATGCCCAAATTGGAATACTGGTGGGGTTGGGATTGATATTGTTATTGTTATTTGGGAGTTGTAGTTGCTGGGATTTATAGTTCGCCTACAATTAAAGAGCATTCTGAACTCCACCAACGAAGGAATTGAATCAGACCTGGCCACACAGAACTCCCATGACCAATAGAAAATGCCAGAAGGGCTTGGTGGGCATCGAACTTGAGTTTGGGAGTTGTAGTTCTCCTAAATCCAGAGAGTACTGTGGACTCAAGCAATGATGGAACTGGGCCAAACTTGGCACGAACACTCAATAATATGTGCAAATGTGTTTGGGGAAAATAGAACCTTGCCATTTGAGAGTTGCACATCTCACCACACTAAAACAGTGGATGTGGCTCTTAATGAGACATGCCGCATTATCACAGGGTGTCTGCGCCCCACACCACTGGAGAAATTATACTACTTAGCCGGTATTGCACCACCTGACATCCTCCGGGAAGTAGCAGCCAATAGTGAAAGGACCATGGCAGAGACATCTCCAGCTCATCCCCTGTTTGGGTATCAGCCAGCACGTCAACGGCTTAAATCAAGACATAGTTTTCTTAGATCTACAGAAACACTCGCTGGAACACCTCAGCAAGCGAGAGTCCAAAAGTGGCAGGCTCAAACCCAGCACCTCAATCCATGGATGATACCAGATGAGAGACTCCCCGCTGGGCACACAGAAGACGGAGCGACTTGGAAGGCACTGAACAGACTGCACTCTGGCACCACGAGATGCGGAAATGGGGCCACAAAGTGGAATCCACGACGTGCGAGTGCGGAGAAGAGCAAACCACAGACCACCTGCTGCAATGCACCCTGAGCCCTGCCACATGCACCATGGAGGACCTTCTTGCGGCAACACCAGAGGCACTCCAAGTGGCCAGATACAGGTCAAAGGACATTTAACCAACTACCAAATTTGCAAAATCTGTGTTTTGTTTTGTTTTTAATCTGTGTGTTTGTTTTGTTCTGTTAGAAATGTAATACAATGGTATGGTTGCTGATGACACGATAAATAAATAGTTCAAAGAGCATTCAATCAAAGAGCATTCTGAACCCCAGCAACGATGGAATTGAACCAAAGGACAGGCGGAGAGGTGCATATCAATCCAGTTACAGATAAGATTTGAAGTAGTAGATAATACAGGACAACTTTCTTATAATCAGCAGTCCAAAGTCTAAAGCATCTCTCTGTTCTAAGAGAGTCTAATGGAGTCTCTACATTTTGAAATGGAGTCTGAGATTTGAATAGTCCCAGATCTGATCACATGGTCTGCAGCCCCTCACACAACACAGAGTTATGGAAAACTCATCAATCTGAATTGTATACATAACAAATAACTAGTATAGGAGGCTTGAAAGAGGTTGCCTTTTCCAACAATAGGCAGACCACAAGTTACAAACATCCGATTTAGCTGGAGTTACACTTTAAAAATTTACCAGTCCTGACTTACATATTATTATTATTATTAACTTTATTTGTACCCCGCTAGCATCTCCCGAAGGACTCGATGCGGCTTACAAAGGCCAAGGCCTCAACACACAACATAACAATACACAACCTAAAGCAAATTAAAAAGAATTAAAACAATATTAAACAACAAGCAATAAACAATACACCAAGACACAATAAAACTGGGCCGGGCCAGAGTAATAGGTACAGTATTAAAAGTGCTGATGTGACAGGTGATATGTAAGGATTATAGGGTAAGTGCAGTGTGCAGCAATCTTAGTTCTGATAAAGTGCTTCTGGGACTTGGTATTGGAGTTTTCCTATTCTGGAAAGGCTCATCGGCACAGCCAGGTCTTAAGTTCTTTCTAAAGACTGCCAATGTAGGGGCCTGTCTAAGATCCTTGTGGAGGGTGTTCCAGAGTCGGGGGGCCACCACAGAAAAGGCCCTGTCTCGCTTCCCCACCAAACGCGCTTGCGACGCAGGCGGAATCACGAGCAGGGCCTCTCCGGATGATCGAAGTGAGCGCGTGGGTTCATAAACGGAGATGCGGACACGCAGGTAGGATGGTCCCAAACCGTTTAGGGCTTTGTAGGTAAGCACCTGCACCTTGAATTGGGCTCGGAAAATAAACGGCAGCCAGTGGAGCTCCTTGAACAGGAGGGTTGACCTCTCTCTGTAAGGAGCCCCGGTTAACATCCTGGCTGCTGCCCGTTGGACCAGTTGGAATTTCCGAGCCGTTTTCAAGGGCAGCCCCACGTAGAGCGCATTACAGTAGTCCAATCTGGAGGTGACCAAGGCATGGACCACCTCGGCCAGATCAGCCTTCGCGAGGTACGGTCGCAGCTGGCGCACGAGTCTCGATTGTGCAAAGGCCCTCCCGGCCACTGCCAACGGCTGAGCCTCAAGCGTGAGTGATGAATCCAAGAGGACTCCCAAACTGCGGACCTGTGACTTCAGGGGGAGTGTAACCCCATCCAACACAGGTTGCCCCCCTATACCCCGATCTGGTTTGCGATCGACCAGGAGGACCTCTGTCTTGTCGGGATTGATCTTCAGCTTGTTCTTCCTCATCCAGATAGACACAGCGGCCAGGCACTCGCCCAGCACCCGAGAGGCCTCCTTGGAATTAGGTGGAAAAGAGTAGTAGAGTTGGGTGTCATCTGCATAGAGGTGGCACCTAACTCCAAAACTCCGGATGACCTCTCCCAGCGGTTTCATGTAGATGTTAAAGAGCATGGGAGACAAAATAGAGCCTTGCGGGACCCCACAGGTCAAAGGCCAGGGGTCCGAGCAGGCGTCTCCCAGCTTCACCATCTGGGTTCGTCCCTCCAGGAAGGACCGAAGCCACAACAAACCGTGCCCCCGAGACCCATCCCAGAGAGTCGACCCAGAAGGATACCATGATCGATGGTATCGAAAGCCGCTGAGATGTCCAAGAGACATCTCCGGATGATCGAAGTGAGCGCGTGGGTTCATAAACGGAGATGTGGTCACGCAGGTAGGATGGTCCCAAACCGTTTAGGGCTTTGTAAGTAAGCACCTGCACCTTAAATTGGGCCCGGTAAATAAATAGACCTCCGTGAACAGGAGAGTTGACCTCTCTCTGTAAGGAGCACCAGTTAACATCCTGGCCGCTGCCCGTTGGACCAGTTGGAATTTCTGAGCCGTTTTCAAGGGCAGCCCCACGTAGAGCACATTACAGTAGTCCAATCTAGAGGTGACCAAGGCATGGACCACCCCGGCCAGATCAAATTCAACTTAAGAACAATCCTATAAAACAAATATTAGGTTCTTGTGGGTTTTTTCGGGCTATAGAGCCATGTTCTAGAGGCATTTCTCCTGACGTTTCGCCTGCATCTATGGCAAGCATCCTCAGAGGTGTGAGGTCTGTTGGAAGTAGGAAAAATGGGGTTATATATCTGTGGAATGGCTGGGGTGGGGCAAAGAGCTCTTCTCTGCTGGAGCTAGGTGTGAATGTTTCAACTGACCACCTTCATTAGCATTTGAAGGCCTGGCTGAGCCTGGGAAATCTTTTGTTGAGAGGTGTTAAGATGTGCCTGGTTGTTTCCTCTCTGCTGTTTTGCTGTTGTAATTTTAGAGTTTTTTAATACAGGTAGCCAGATTTTGTTCATTTTCATGGTCTCTTCCTTTCTGTTGAAATTGTCCACATGCTTGTGGATTTCAATGGCTTCTCTGTGTAGTCTGACATGGTGGTTGTTGGTGTGGTCCAGCATTTCTGTGTTCTCCAATAATGCCCCACCCCAGCCATTCCACAGATATATAAACCCATTTTTCCTACTTCCAACAGACCTCACTACCTCTGAGGATGCTTGCCATAGATGCAGGCGAAACGTCAGGAGAAATGCCTCTAGAACATGGCCCTATAGCCCGAAAAAACCCACAAGAACCTAGTGATTCCAGCCATGAAAGCCTTCGACAATACATAAAACAAATATTGTTTGTAACTTGAGGCCAGCCTGTAATATAGAATGTATTATATTTGGCATGACAACAGCATAAGTTGCTTTATCCCCTTGCGGAGAAAGAAAGCAGGGTGTAAACAAACATAATAATAACAGTGAAAAAGATCTAGGAGTCTCAATAGACACCAAACTGAACATGAGCCACCGGTGTGATGCAGCAGCTCAAAAAGCCAATGCGATATTTGGCTGCATCAATGAGAGTCGAGCATGGGGTGTTGTTTCACACCTTTTGCAATGACTTCGAAGGCTGCCCTTGCTTTCTCCCTCTCAACCTTCCTTTGTAAAGAATTTAATTCAATTCAATGAGAACTAAAAGCAAAACATTGCTGGATTCAAGCATTTCAAGGAAGGGAGTTTTGATGTGGAATAACAAAGCCAGAAACTTTTCGTTAGCAAATGCCCAATGCAAGCTGATGCAATTCTCAGGGCCTCCAACTAAACCTAAGAGTTCCCTTCCCTTTTGAAGAAAATAGACCAGCAAAGCCAGCAATATTGTAGCCAAAGGGGTTCAGTAAAGGAAGAAAAGTAAACCCACCTTTTGACAGCTCGGTGCGCCTTCTAGAGACCAAATACTACAGCAAACTTGGTTTTTTTCTGGCCGCAGCTGATCTATAAACAGCTGACTGGTTAGATCATGCAAACTCCTCCTCCTCTTGCATGTGTCATTCAGGAGAAAGAGGAGAGCGGAGAAAGTAAAGGCGTTTCTAAAACTGGATTTCCTGCCCTCTGCCGGTGAAGATTTGCTGTTCCTTCCACTGCTTTGTTCTTCTGTTTTGCCATTTCGGAGGTATCCAAAGTCTCCAGAAAGGCCAAGACTCCTTCCTAGGGAGGCAAACTGCATTTCTTGCAACACCCAGATGACATTTTGCAGGGCATCAACGCTGTAGAGTGAGCAATTTGAACTGCTATGGGAAAATGGTATAATTAATGTGGCTTGATCTCTGGTTGCTTCTGGATCAAGCCACATAGAAGATGGCTTTGAAAAGCAGCAGATCACAGGAGCTGTCTTCATAGACCTGTCAGCGGCCTATGAGACTGTGAACCACCGCCTCCTCCTGAGAAAAATGTATAATATCACAAAGGACGACCACCTCACCCGCCTCATAGGAAACCTGCTACAAAACAGGAGCTTTTTTGTTGAGTTCCAGGGCCAGAGAAGCAGATGGCGGAAACAGAAGAACGGCCTGCTCAGGGGAGCGTGCTTGCTCCATCCATGTTCAACATCTACACAAATGACCAGCCACTGCCAGAAGGGACAGAGAGTTTCATCTATGCTGATGATCGTGCCATTACGCTCAAGCAGGGAGCTTTGAGATAGTTGAACAGAAGCTCTCCGAAGCTCTAGGTGCTCTTACTGCCTATTACAGGGAAAACCAGCTGATCCCTAATCCATCTAAAACACAGACATGTGCCTCTCACCTTAAGAACAGACAAGCATCCCGAGCTCTGAGGATGACCTGGGAAGGAATCCCACTGGAGCATTGCAGCGCACACCCAAATACCTGGGAGTCACTCTGGACCGTGCTCTGACCTACAAGAAGCACTGCCTGAACATCAAGCAAAAAGTGGGTGCTAGAAACAATATCATACGAAAGCTGACTGGCACAACCTGGGGATCACAACCAGACACAGTGAAGACATCTGCCCTTGCGCTATGCTACTCTGCTGCTGAGTACGCATGCCCAGTGTGGAACACATCTCACCACACTAAAACAGTGGATGTGGCTCTTAATGAGACATGCCGCATTATCACGGGGTGTCTGCGCCCTACACCACTGGAGAAATTACACTGCTTAGCCGGTATTGCACCACCTGACATCCGCCGGGAAGTGGCAGCCAATAGTGAAAGGACCAAGGCAGAGACATCTCCAGCTCATCCGCCAGCACGTCAACAACTTAAATCAAGAAATAGTTTTCTTAGATCTACAGAGACACTCGCTGGAACACCTCAGCAAGCGAGAGTCCCAAAGTGGCAGGCTCAAACCCAGCACCTCAATCCGTGGGCGATACCAGATGAGAGACTCCCCCCTGGGCACACAGAAGACTGGGCGACTTGGAAGGCGCTGAACAGACTGCGCTCTGGCACCACGAGATGCAGAGCCAATCTTAAGAAATGGGGCCACAAAGTGGAATCCACGACATGCGAGTGCAGAGAAGAGCAAACCACTGACCACCTGCTGCAATGCACCCTGAGCCCTGCCACATGCACAATGGAGGACCTTCTTGCGGCAACACTAGAGTCACTCCAAGTGGCCAGATACTGGTCAAAGGACATCTAATCAGCTACCAAGTTTGCAAAATTTGTGTGTTTTTTATAATCTGTTTGTTTGTTTTGTTCTGTTAGAAATGTAATACAATGTTCTGGTTGCGGATAACACGATAAATAAATAAATGTGGCTCAATATCACTTTCATTGCCATGGCTGGCCAGTCACAGTCTCGCGATTCCTGAATTGGAATTATACCTTGTTTCCAAAAGTAACTTCCAGTGTAATTGTTTTTTTCCTCTCCCGTTGGTGAACAAGCAAAGCAATATCCAAGAAAATAAACAACACAGTTTCAGTATCTTAAGGATTTATTTTTGTAGCTGCAAAAGTGGAAAGATTTGTCGTGTTTTGTCGCTCTTTGCATTTTATAAATACAGTTTGGCGCCTATAACCCCCCCCCCCCCTTAGCGTCAGTTCCCAGCAGAAACATTGAAAAAAACACAACTTAAGAAAATAGTGGAGATTTTTTTTAAACAGCAGAGAGAGAGAAGGAAGACAGGCTTCAAACAGCAAGAAAAGTGTCAGGATCGCTTGTATAAGCAGATACAGAGTTCCCATTTTCCTTCTCCTTTTAGCTGTCACAGTTATTCCTTGGAAAGGAAATTTACCTGGCATCCAGTCTGAGTTGAATGATCCCTATCCTCTTTGGAGAAAGTGTTGAACCTTCCAAAAAAAAGTAATAATTCAAGTTTCAAACTCATTGAAAGTTATACGGAAATGCAAAGAAGGCATCTCTTCGTAACTTAATGAAAGAAACCTTGAAACGGGGAATGACGCCACATTTGATCGGATGCGGAAAATACAGGAAGGAATGGAAGTGACCACTGATGCCATCTTATACGAATAGTAAACAAATTTAGAGTAACAGGGCACCTCAAAGAGAAGACTGAGCGAACAATTCATACATTTCGTATCAGATGGGTGAGACTACAACCCCCATCATCCACAGTAAACTACCTGGACAGTACCAGGTTAGAGAAGACACACAACAAGGGCAGAGAGCTGCTTGGAAGAAGTCCCTAAAGCAGTGGTTCTCAACCTTTCTAATGCGGTGACCCCTAAATAAAGTTTCTCATGTTGTGGTGACCCCCAAACATATTTTCGTTGCTACTTCATAAATAATTTTGCCTGCCAGGAGTGCCATTTGGCTGGCTCAGGGGGTCAGCAGCCATTTTGGAGGGGGCGGGGCTGGGCAAGACAGCTTCGCGACCCCCCAAAAATGGCCGAACGACCCTCCCAGGGGGCGCAACCCCCGGGTTGAGAACCGCTGTCCTAAAGCATGAGGAATGTTACCCAAAATCCCATTAAAAGGTGAGATTTAGTTTCCCAGAAAACGGCGTAAGAGGAGCGAAGTTCGCACAGTGCAGCGGCGGTCCATAGGAACTTGACATGAAAGCAGAAACGCCACAGAACAAACGAAAGAAGCGCATGGCAGTTAGAGAAGTTACACAAGGGCAAAGAGCTGCTTGGAAGAAGTCCCTAAAGCATGAGGAATGTTACCTAAAATCCTATTAAAAGGTGGGATTTAGTTTCCCAGAAAACGGCATAAGAGGAGCGAAGTTCGCACAGTGCAGCGGCGGTCCATAGGAACTTGACATGAAAGAAACGCCACAGAACAAAAGAAGCGCATGACAGTTAGAGAAGTCACACAACAAGGGCAAAGAGCTGCTTGGAAGGAGTCCCTAAAGCATGAGGAATGTTACTCAAAATTCCATTAAAAGGTGGGATTTAGTTTCCCAGAAAACGGCGTAAGAGGGGCAAAATTCGCACAGTGCAGCGGCGGTCCATAGGAACTTGGAATGGACAGTCATTCAGCTGGAAAGGAGAGGAAAACAGAAGGAAAAGGAAGACCAAGGAGGTGGAAACGCAGGATAAAAAGAAGCCGAGGCACTAAGGGCAGCAAATAGAATATTTGCGGGTCTTTTTGGTACAAGAAGCATGGAGTAAGGAAGAGTAAGAGGAAGCACTAGAACCAAACACTCTTTGACCTGACATTCCAAGCAGCCATGCAAAACTTTACTACCAGTTTGGCCGTTTACAACTAATTTAATTAGATTATGTATGTTATATTATACAGTATGTTGTTGTGGTTTTTCTTGTGAACAACACATCATACAGATGAGTGGGATCTGAAACTTTCCAGTGGTTGCTGGCTTCTCATTTGAAAGATACCTACAACGTATATCCTTGCCCATTCTGCATTATTGATGCTTTATACGTGTCAGTTTAATGAAGAAAGGTATTTGAGGAGCTGCACTAGGGAACTCACTACATAACATACAGTAGAGTCTCGCTTATCTGACATATACGGATCGGCAGAACGTCGGATACACGAAAATGTTGGATAATACGGAGTCTTGTCGAAGGCTTTCATGGCAGGAACCACTGGGTTGTTGTAGGTTTTTTCGGGCGATATGGCTATGTTCTAGAGGCATTCTCTCCTGACGTTTCGCCTGCATCTATGGCAAGCATCCTCAGAGGTAGTGAGGTCTGAGGATGCTTGCCATACCTCTGAGGATGCTTGCCATACCTCTGAGGATGCTTGCCATAGATGCAGGCAAAACGTCAGGAGAGAATGCCTCTAGAACATGGCCATATCGCCCGAAAAAACCTACAACAACCCAATACGGAGACTCCCACTGGTACCCATCCGTTGTGGAGCTAGACATCTAGAATACTAACAAGAGGGACTCGAACAGTTAAGGCAAGGCAACGCCTCGGGGCTAGAGTGGCTCAACAGGAAGTGCCCGGATGTGGAAATCAGAGGGAAGGATTGAGGATGCTTCCGCTTCCGCTCCTCTTTTCCTCCTTCCTCCTCCTCCTTGCTTTGCCTTTTTCACTTATTGGGAATGTAGAGAGTTGGGGAGCGCTCCTTTACTTGAAAGGAAAATGCCGGAGGAAAATGGGTTGGATGAGACGGGATGTCGGATAAGCGAAGGTCGGATAAACGAGACTCTACTGTATAGGCTTATTTTGCCCAACCGTAGAAGTAGGGCAGACAGAAGACTAAGCAGGAGTGGACATGGTTCTCTTTTAGCCAGAATAGGAAAGTCTAGTTTCACCCCAAAATGCAAATGCACTGGAATGTTAATCCAGACAGGTGGGATTCCCACTCCTACGGTTGTTCCCATTGTCCTCAGGTGCTGCAAAAATGGTGGCCCGTGTGGCCCCTACTGAATGGTGTTGACTGTTATTTCCAATCTCAGAACGGAGATAACGGTGGCATTCTTTATGCATGGACCTCCATGGCCATCTTTGCAGGAAGACCAAATAAATTTGGGGTGCTAACGTGGGAAAGGGACCATAATATTGCCCCGTCGACCCAAATAGTCTGGGGAATTTAATCCGGCGCTCACTTCCTTGAACCCAATCTACACACAGGATAATCGGAGAATGTGATGTCAGGATTAATTTAGTTATGTATGTGTTTAAAATGTGCTTCTATGTATTTCCAAGATGGATGCTACTGTGACTTAGAAATGGTGTGCAGAATGTTTACACCATGAGGCTGTGATTAAGTGAACTTGAGAAAAGTAAGATTAGGTTTGCTCTTGCTGGGAACAGTCTCAGCAAGAAGAGATAAGCAGATGTGAAGAGGCTTTCGTTTCGACTAGTTCCTGATTTGTAGCTCGCTGTAGTAAGACGTGTCTGATGAATGTGCTTAGTAAACTTAGTTTCTTTTGTAACTCGAAGCCTGCAGAGTCCTTATTATGCAACTCGAAGTGTCTGCTGATCTAGCATTCCTTCCGTTGGGCATTGTCTGAACTCTGACATGTGGGACCCTTCAAGATGCTCTTGGATCCCAACTCCCATTAGCCCCAGCTGGGGAATTTAATCCGGCGCCCACTTCCTTGCACCCAATCTACACACAGCGTAATCGGAGAATGTGAGACCCTTCAAGATGCTCTTGGATCCCAACTCCCATTAGCTCCAGCTGGGGAATTTAATCCGGCGCTCACTTCCTTGAACCCAATCTACACACAGCGTAATTGGAGAATGTGAGACCCTTCAAGATGCTCTTGGATCCCAACTCCCATTAGCCCTAGCTGGGGAATTTAATCCGGCGCCCACTTCCTTGCACCCAATCTACACACATTGCAAGGTTTTCATTTTATCAAAGTGGAAGTAGAGAATGTGAGGCCCTGCAAGTTGTTCTTGCATCCCAACTCCCATCAGTCCCAGCTGATGAGGGCGATAGGAAGTGCAATCCAACAACACCTACAACAAAACCACATTTTTCCGCATTCTTTGAGAATTATATTCGCCTTGCCTCCCACACTGCTCACTTCCTGTCCCGAAAGACATGCAGGATTTTGGGGATGGAGCGCTCACAGTCATGAGACAGCGTATGCATTGACATGCCAAACACAAAAAGACACCAAGAATGGGAACAATCCAAGGAATGTATATCGACAACTGCAAAGAAAGAAGGGTTAACCGTTCCGCAACACAAACCTACTGGGTTTGGTTTCTAAGGTCATAATGGTTCTCTGTCCAGCCAGAGGCACAAAGGTTCACAAAAGGCACAAAAAGGTACACAAAGGAACATGGCGGAGACAAGGTCGCATTACTTTGTGCTTCTGATTTGATCCCAGCGAGCGGGATCTTCCATGCTAGGCATTTTCCCCAAAGAAAGAAGGCATAAACATCGCAATCGGGAAGGATCCCGAGGCAGGTGAAGCCGAAGGGACGAGGAATGGGTCATCGTTTCTCTTGCTTTTTTGAGAAAGGCACTAACTGGTACACAGAAAGAACTTAAAGCTATGTGTTTCTTCTTTTCTTTTTTTTCTTAAAGTGCAAAAAAGTTTTTTTTTTCAAAAAGAAAGCGATACAAATGTGGGAAGGGTGGTCATTAAAAAAAATACAGGAATAATAAAAAGAAAGGTTAACTGGAAGCAAAGGGATCTCCAGAGCTCGGAGCTGCTCTGCAAGCGATTCTTGGGATTCCCAGGCTGTAGCGAGGCATTCGTTTCAGCGGCAGTTTGGACTTTTGGGACCGAGCCCTCACTTGTTCTTCTTGTCCTCCGTAGCCCTCCCTGCCGACCCAGCTTGGATAGTATTATTTGTGCGGTTGGTGGCCTGAGAAGAGAGAGAAAGGGGAAAAGCAGCTCAGTAAAACAAAACAGACAGAAAATTATTTCTTTGTATTGTCGAAGGCTTTCATGGCTGGAATCACTCAGTTCTTGTGGGTTTTTTCGGGCTATATGGCCATGTTCTAGAGGCATTTTCTCCTGACGTTTCGCCTGCATCTATGGCAAGCATCCTCAGAGGTGACCTCACCTCTGAGGATGCTTGCCATAGATGCAGGTGAAACGTCAGGAAAAAATGCCTCTAGAACATGGCCATATAGCCCGAAAAAACCCACAAGAACTGAATTATTTCTTTATTTACTTCATTTGTATACCACTTTTCTCACCTGGGTGGGTGGGGGCACTCAAAACAGTTCCCAACATATTCATGACAAAATTTAATGCCTTATTTATTTATCGTGTCGGGGCAACCAGACCATTGTATTACATTTCTAACAGAACAAAACAAACAGATAAAACACAAAATTTGCGAGTTAAATGTCCTTTGACCAGTATCTGGCCACTTGGAGTGCCTCTGGTGTTGCTGCAAGAAGGTCCTCCATTGTGCATGTGGCAGGGCTCAGGTTGCATTGCAGCAGGTGGTCTGCGGTTTTCTCCACACTCGCATGTCGTGGATTCCACTTTGTGGCCCCATTTCTTGAGGTTCGCCCTGCATCTCGTGGTGCCAGAGCGCAGTCTGTTCAGCGCCTTCCAAGTCACCCAGTTTTCTGTGTGCCCGGGGGGAGTCTCTCATTGGGTATCAGCCATTATTGATGTTCTGGGTTTGAGCCTGCCACTTTTCGACTCTCGCTTGCTGAGGTGTTCCAGCGAGTGTCTCTATAGAGCTTATAAAACTATTTCTTGATTTAAGTCATTGACGTCCTTGGCTGATACCCAAACAAGGGATGAGCTGGAGATGTCTCTGCCTTAGTCCTTTCGCTATTGGCTGCCACTTCCCGGCGGATGTCAGGTGGTGCGATACCGGCTAAACAGTGTAATTTCTCCAGTGGTGTAGGGTGCAGACACCCCGTGATAATACGGCATGTCTCATTAAGAGCCACATCCACTGTTTTAGCGTGGTGAGATGTGTTCCACACTGGGCATGCATACTCAGCAGCAGAGTAGCATAGTGCAAGGGCGGATGTCTTCACTGTGTCTGGTTGTGATCCCCAGGTTGTGCCAGTCAGCTTTCGTATGATGTTGTTTCTAGCACCCACTTTTTGCTTGATATTCAGGCAGTGCTTCTTGTAGGTCAGAGCATGGTCCAGAATGACCCCCAGGTATTTGGGTGCGCTGCAATGCTCCAGTGGGATTCCTTCCCAGGTGATCCTCAGAGCTCAGGATGCTTGTCTGTTCTTAAGATAAAAAGCACATGTCTGTGTTTTGGATGGGTTGGGGATCAGCTGGTTTTCCCTGTAATAGCTGGTAAGGGTACCTAGAGCTTCGGAGAGCTTTGGTTCAACCATCTCAAAGCTCCCTGTTTGAGCGGTGATGGCACGATCATCAGCATAGGTGAAGCTCTCTGTCCCTTCTGGCAGTGGCTGGTCATTTGTGTAAATTTTCAACATGGATGAAGCAAGCACGCTCCCCTGAGGCAGGCCGTTCTTCTGTTTCCGCCATCTGCTTCTCTGGCCCTGGAAGTCAACAAAAAAGCTCCTGTTTTGTAGCAGGTTTCCTATGAGGCGGGTGAGGTGGTCGTCCTTTGTGATATTACACATTTTTCTCAAGAGGAGGCGGTGGTTTACAGTATTTAATGCCTTAAAAGCATATGAAAACCTGACAACAATAACATATAACTATCAATTAAATCATAAAACATAACAACATTTCGACAGTAAAACGTAGAGTTAAAAACATATTAATATAAACATTAAAATATAATATAAACATTAAAATCACATAATCCAAAAAACACAGTCCAAGGCCATTCCAATATCAAATATCAACTGCACATAATCTCTGTTTGTTCCTTGCATTGCTTACTGTTCAAATACTTGGTCCCACAGCCATGTTTTTGCTTTTAAGGAGAGAGGGCACTGATCTAATTTCACTGGGGAGGGAGTTCCATAGTCAGGAAGCCACCACTGAGAAGGCCCTGTGTGGTGAAGTGTAAATGTTTAACTTGCAGTTATGTATAATTATAGATAGATGTTTTAAAGAGTAAGTATTTAAAGTTGCATAACTAAGGGAGGTGGTAGCCAGCTCAGCTCATGTTGAGCTGGGTTACCATGGAAAAAGGGGCAGAGCCAACTGCCACTTGGCAGGGCAGCCATTTTAAAACAGTTAGTCTGTAGTCAGCGAACTACAGGAGAGGCTGGTTCTAGTGGATGCTTGCACTTTACTGCACTTGTAGACCGCCGTTCTCAGCCCTAGGGCGACTCACGGATGCTGAGAACCAGTGGGTTAGTCTACAGTCTGTGAACTGTAGGAAAGGCTGATTCTATAGTAGTGAGAATCAGGAAGGTTTTGACTTTGAGCCTGAGTAGTTTAAATAACCACTTCAACCAGAGAAGTCAGCCATAGCAGAGCACCTGATGAACCAACTTGGAGACAGGATATTATCTGAGAACACAGAAATGCTGGACCACTCTCACAAGCACCATGTCAGACTACACAGAGAAGCCATTGAAATACACAAGCATGTGGACAATTTCAACAGAAAGGAGGAAACCATGAAAATGAACAAAATCTGGCTACCAGTATTAAAAAACTCTAAAATTACAACAGCACAACAACAGAGAGGAAACAAACAAGGAAATCTAATCACCTCTCAACAAAAGTTTGCTCCAGGCACTGTCAGGCCATTATATGCTAATCAAGGTGGTCAGTTGAAACATTCACACCTAGGCCAGCAGACAAGAGTCCTTTGTCCCACCCTGGTCATTCCAGAGATATATAAACCCTGTTTCCTAGTTCCAACAGACCTCACAACCTCTGAGGATGCTTGCCATAGATGCAGACGAAACGTCAGGAGAGAATGCCTCTAGACCATGGCCATATAGCCTGAAAAAACCTACAACTTTGTAAGTCAGATGTTTGTAGCTCAGATATTACCAGTACTGCATATAAAAATCTTGAAAACCTTGACAAAGAGCCAGCTCTCTTGAATCTCTATTCAGCTGCTGGGATGCACTCACCCTTTCCAACAGAAACTCGGCAGTGGTGTCAATGACGACTCCCAGTTCACGGTACTGGCCGGAATAGCGGATGTAGCCCCAGGCTGTGAGGGAGAGGAGCAGCAGCCCCACGAGTAAGTTGCAGAGCTGGGCCACAAGCTCAAGCCCGAGGTAATCCGTGAGGCCGGAGCTCAGGTAAAGCGAGACGATGAGGCTGAAGATGACGCCCGGCGTCCGGAAGCTGCTGAAGATATTCTTGCTGTTGTTGTGCTTGACCAGGTCCTCGAAGAGCTCGTTCAGCCCCTTCACCAGCTCCTCCTCATAGCGCTGGCTGAACTCCTTTCCGCCCATCTTCTTGATGCGCTGGAAGTGCTGCACGGCCAAAGCGCTCTGCACGCGGTGCTTCTCCTCCAGCAACTCGGGCGCCACGTAAGGCTTGTCCCCACCACAGAGCTATAGGGAGGGAAAGAAAGCATCATCAGGTTGTGAAAAAGTCCCCTTCAGGGTGGGAAGGGCGGCATATAAATGTCATCTATCTATCTATCTATCTATCTATCTATCTATCTATCTATCTAATAAAAGTCAACGTTTGTATGCGGCGGAAGTGTGGCGGTGCAACCGGAGGGGTATGTGCCAGCTTTCCAATTGGCTGCCACTGTGGTGCTATTTGCATATGGTCTCGGATTGGACAGCCTGAAAGTTCCAAAATTCCGATTGGCTGCCACTGTGGAACGATTTGCATATGGTCTCTGATTGGCCACCCTGAACATTCCGAGGCAGCAAAGGGAATAGGAAAGGGGCCTGAAGCTGTCAGGAAAAGGCCAGGGGCTCTGTCAGAAAATTACCAATACAGACCAAACTTGGCACACAGAGCCCTCATGACCCACTCTACGTCCTACTACAGTTTGGAGGAGGATGAACCATGGATGATGGGACTTGCAGTACCATCACTCACATTCTGAGACCTCTGTTAACCTCATCCAATGACTGATCAGGACCAAACTTGGCACATAGACCTCTCATGACCCACTTTACTTCCTGGTATGGTTTGGCTGGTGATGGACCATGGATTATTGGACTTGCAGTACCTTTGCTCAATTCTTGAGACCACTGCAACCCTCATCCAATTACCGATAAAGATCAAACTTGACACACAGAGCCCTCATGACGCACCCTACATCCCGATGCTGTTTGGAGGAGGACGGACGATGGATGATGGGACTTCCAGTAACTTCACTCACTTCCTGAAACCACAGCGACACTTATCCAAATACCAAGAAAGACCAAACTTGGCACAGAGAGCCCCCTTGGCCAACTCAACATTCTGGTGAGGTTTGGGGGAGAACAGACTATGGATGATGGGACTTGCAGTACCTAAACTCACTTTCTGAGACCAATGTGACCCTCATCCAATGATTGATCAAGACCAAACTTGGCACACAGAGCCCCCATGACCCACTCTCTATTCTGGTGCAATTTGGAGGAGGATGGACCACAGATGATGGGACTCACAGTACCTTCACTAACTTCCTGACACCACTGCGAGCCATATAAATAACTGATAAAGACCAAGCTTGATACACAATTCCTTTCTCAAATAACCCGGGCAGCGCCGGGTCCCCAAGCTAGTGTATATAATAAAAGTCAGTGTTTGTATGCGGAGGACGGGAGGTGTATGTGTCAGCGTTCCGATTGGCTGCCACTGTGGTACAATTTGCATACGGTCTCTGATTGGCAACCCTCAACATTCCGAGGTAGCAGAGGGAAAAGGAAAGGGGCCTGAGGCTGTCAGGAATGGTTGGAGTTGAAGTCCAAAACACCTTGTGGCCCCCAACAATGACAAAACAAGACCAAACCTGGCACACAGACCCCCCCCCCCCCCAAGACCCACTCAACATCCTGGTGCACTTTGAGGCAGGATGGACCACGGATGACAGGACTTGCAGTACTTTAAGTCTCTTCCTTAGAGCACTGTGGCCCACACCAAGGACAGATCAGGACCAAACTTGGCACACAGAGGCACAATGTCCCACTTTACAACCTGGTGCGGTTTAGGGCAGGATGGGCCACGAATGATGGAATTTGCAGTACCTTCACCCGATTCACTTCCCACAGAACATTGTAGCCCCTACAAATCACAGACCAGGCCCAAACTAGGGACACAGAGTACTCATGTCCCACTTTACATCTTGATGCAGTTCTAAGGGGGACGGACGATGGATGATGGGACTTGCAGTACCTTTACTCACTTACTGAAACCACTGCGACCCTCATCCAATGACTGATCAAGACCAAATTGGCACAAAGGGCCCCCATGACCCACTCTACATCTTGCTGCAGTTTGGAGGAGGGTGGATCATGGATGATGGGACTTCAAGTACCTTCACTCACTTCCTGAAAACAATGCAATTGTCATCCAATTTTTTTTTTAACCTCCATTTCCCACTTTCTCTAATAACCCAGGCAGCGCCGGGTCCCCAAGCTAGTAAATCTATATAAATAAAAATGTAATGTTCGTTTGTGGGATTAACAGAACTCAAAAACCACTGGACGAATTGACACCAAATTTGGACAGCATGCACCTAACATCCCAATGTATGTCCTTCACTAAAAAAATAAATGATTTTGTCATTTGGGAGTTGTAGTTGCTGGGATTTATAGTTCACCTACAATCAAAGAGCATTCTGAACTCCACCAATGATGGAATTGGTGAGAAGTAAGAATTCAGGGGAAAAGAATGCCCCAAATAAGATTAATACTTTGAATGAAGTCCTATGCTAGTATACAGGAAATTCAAGAGGAGATTGAAAACAGTCCAGGTTTCATCCCATGCATATTTTCTCCCCTCTTATTCCCTACTCCTTTCCATATCGTCTGTCTTACCATCTCCATGTTGTTATAATACATGTCCTTTGCTGACGCGACGGCAGCCAGGTTATTAGCTTCAGCGGTGGCCTGAGAGGAAATATCAACACAAACAAAACAAAAAATCAGGTGAATAGTAAATCCCATCCTTTCTCTGGAGGTGAATTTTCCACTTGTGCAGTCAATTCTAAATTGGAATCAAACCTGGGACCTATACACAGCTCAGGAGATGAGACCTGTTAAGGCACTCCATTGACAAAAGTATATTACTATTATTATTGTTGTTGTTGTTTATTTATACCCCGATTTTTCCTTCCACAAGGAGACTCACTCGCATCGGTAGCTGCAAACAGATGGGAGCTATGATGTAGTAATACTAAAGATCATTGAGAATATATTCTCTTACTTCTGGGCAAGGAAGCTGAACCATGTGGAAATGGAGGGGGCATATAGGCAATTTCTTCTGAGGGAGATGGGTTGGAGGACGACAAACAATATATAAATTTTAGCTCTTCCTAACCCAAGCAAATGGAGCTGAGCTGCTGAACTTGCTGATTGAAAGGTTGGCGGTTCGAATCCGGGGAGCGGGGTGAGCTCCCGCTGTTAGCCCCAGCTTCTGCCAGCCTAGCAGTTAGAAAACATGGAAATGTGAGTAGATTAATAGCTGGAAGGTAATCGCACTCCATGCAGCCATGCTGGCCACATGACCTTGGAAGTGTCTACGAACAACGGCGCATCCTCAGAGGTAGTGAGGTCTGTTGAAATTAGGAAAATGGGTTTATATATCTGTGGAATGACTGGGGTGGGGCAAAGAGCTCTTCTCTGCTCCTTGATGTGTGTTTGGGCACTGCATTTGGTGGTCCCTATGTAGACTTGTCAACAGCTGCATAGGGACCACCACAGTCTACATAGGGACCACCAAACGCAGCGCCCAAACACGCATCAAGGAACATGAAAGGCACTGCAGACTACTTCAACCAGAGAAGTCAGCCATAGCAGAACACCTGATGAACCAGCCTGGACACAGCATATTATTTGAGAACACAGAAATGCTGGACCACACCAACAACCACCATGTCAGACTACACAGAGAAGCCATTGAAATCCACAAGCATGTGGACAATTTCAACAGAAAGGAGGAAACCATGAAAATGAACAAAATCTGGCTACCAGTATTAAAAAACTCTAAAATTACAACAGCAAAACAGCAGAGAGGAAACAACCAGGCACATCTTAACACCTCTCAACAAAAGATTCCCCCAGGCTCAGCCAGGCCTTCAAATGCTAATGAAGGTGGTTCAGTTGAAACATTCACACCTAGCTCCAGCAGAGAAGAGCTCTTTGCCCCACCCCAGTCATTCCACAGATATATAAACCCATTGTCCTAATTCCAACAGACCTCACTACCTCTGAGGATGCTTGCCATAGATGCAGGCGAAACGTCAGGAGAAAATGCCTCTAGAACATGGCCACATAGCCCGAAAAAACCCACAAGAACCTAAAAATGGGTTGGATGGTCACTCTCCGAAAGCATTGGAAATGGAGATGTGCACCAATCCCCAGAGTGAGACAAGACTAGACTTAACGTCAAGGGGAAACCTTTACCTTTACCTTTAACCCAAGCAAAGCTCACCATTAACATGGACTTGGGGTGAGGAAGGTCTTCTCCCTGGTAGATCTTGATATAAGCCTGGAAGGGAGGAAAAACAATGGGTGAGTGGCGTCTGTCAACAAAACAATTTTTGTTGGTTTAAAGCAGGGCAAACCAGGCCTGGGGGTCGGATTTGGCCCTCCTCAGGCCCTCCTCTCTCTCACCTTCCTATCAGCATGAGGACGTGGCAGCCTGCCCACGTCCTCATGCTGAAAGGAGGCCAGGGAAATCACCCGTGGCTATAACACCAGTCCCAGCTTCAGGCAGAGACTTTTCCTGGCCTGCATCTTGGCCTCCACCTCTACAAGGCTCCTCACTGGCACACATGGAGCTAGTGCGGACCCCTTCTTCCAGACCTCTGCCCCTGGCAATGAGGGGGGGGGGCTCCTTTTCCACCTCCTCTGCCACGCCCCACCTTCCTCAAGGGCAAGTTCCCCCTCAGAAAGAAGAATAATGTTGTACACCACAGCAGGAAAACCTCTGACCTTAAACACCACACCAGCTTGGTAAAATCAGCAAGCAGTTTATTGAAGAATACTTGATAAAATCAGTAAGCAGTTTATTGAAGAATACTTGGTAAAATTAGCAAGCAGTTTATTGAAGAATACTTGGTAAAACCAGCAAGAAGTTTATTGAAGAATGCTTGGTAAAATCAGCAAGCAGTTTATTGAAGAATACTTGGTAAAATTAGCAAGCAGTTTATTGAAGAATACTTGGTAAAACCAGCAAGAAGTTTATTGAAGAATGCTTGGTAAAATCAGCAAGCAGTTTATTGAAGAATACTTGGTAAAATTAGCAAGCAGTTTATTGAAGAATACTTGGTAAAATCAGCAAGCAGTTTATTGAAGAATATAAGCAGACAAAGCAGTAAAATTAGCAAAAAAGGTCAAGTTCCAAAACAAAGGTTAGTCCATGAGCTTTAAGGCAAAACAAGATCCATAGGTACAAAAATCCATGAAACAGGCACAAGAATCCATGAAACAAGGCAGCATGAAAAATCCAATACACAAATCAGGAGCTTGGCAAAAACTTGGTACCTGAAACTACGAACACTTGAAAGCAAGACTGTGATGAAATTTCAACGTCAACCCAACTGAGGCAACTCTTTCCCATGAATCAATATAAAGCTTTTCCAGATTCCAAAACCGAAAGGAAAGCATTTCTCTTAACCTTGCCACCAAATAAAAGTTTCTTATCTCTCTTTTCCTGTAAACAAACTGATCTTCTTTGCACCTGAGCACTCTGTCTCTGTTTACAAAAGCCTTGCTTTCTATCTACACTCTCATTAACTTGACTCTCATTAACTTCTGCACCTTCATTTATTTATCGTGTCATCAGCAACCATACCATTGTATTACAATTCTAACAGAGCAAAACAAACACACGGATTAAAAAGAAAAAAAAACACACAGATTTTGCAAATTTGGTAGTTGGTTAAATGTCCTTTGACCAGTATCTGGCCCCTTGGAGTGCCTCTGGTGTTGCCGCAAGAAGGTCCTCCATTGTGCATGTGGCAGGGCTCAGGTTGCATTGCAGCAAGTGGTCAGTGGTTTGCTCTTCTCCACACTCACATGTCAAGGATTCCACTTTGTGGCCCCTTTTCTTAAGACTGGTTCTGCATCTCGTGGTGCCAGAGCACAGTCTGTTCAGCGCCTTCCAAGTTGCCCAGTTTTCTGTGTGCCCAGGGGGGAGTCTCTCATCTGGTATCACCCATGGATTGAGGTGCTGGGTTTGAGCCTGCCACTTTTGGACTCTCGCTTGCTGAGGTGTTCCAGCAAGTGTCTCTGTAGATCTTAGAAAACTATTTCTTGATTTAAGTCGTTGACGTGCTGGCTGATACCCAAACAGGGGATGAGCTGGAGATGTCTCTGCCTTGGTCCTTTCACTATTGGCTGCTACTTCCCGGCGGATGTCAGGTGGTGCAATACCGGCTAAACAGTGTAATTTCTCCAGTGGTGTAGGGCGCAGACACCTCGTGATAATGCGGCATGTCTCATTAAGAGCCACATCTACTGTTTTAGTGTGGTGAGATGTGTTCCACACTGGGCATGCATACTCAGCAGCAGAGTAGCATAGCGCAAGGGCAGATGTCTTCACGGTATCTAGTTGTGATCCTCAGGTTGTGCCAGTCAGCTTTCGTATGATGTTGTTTCTAGTGCCCACTTTTCGCTTGATGTTCAGGCAGTGCTTCTTGTAGGTCAGAGCATGGTCCAGAGTGACTCCCAGGTATTTGGGTGTGTTGCAATGCTCCAGTGGGATTCCTTCCCAGGTCATCCTCAGAGCTCGGGATGCTTGTCTGTTCTTAAGGTGAAAGGCGCATGTCTGTGTTTTAGATGGATTAGGGATCAGTTGGTTTTCCCTGTAATAGGCAGTAAGAGCACCTAGAGCTTCGGAGAGCTTCTGTTCTTGAAGTTCTCAAAGTTCCCTGCTTGAGTGGTAATGGCACGATCATCATCATCATCAGGGGACATGAGAGAAGCCTCCTCACAGGATTGCAAGACATCCGGGCGTCCCCTGGGCAACGTCTTTGTAGACGGCCGATTCTCTTGATCCAGAAGCAACCAGAGACGACTTCTGCACCTGACAAATCATCTTCAGACAGTTGCTCTGAGAAAGACTACAAAGGGCCTCTCCCAGGAATGTGACCTTGTGAATCTTCCTGTTTGGGCCTGTTGTCTGAGCTTAACTCAGGCCCAGGCAAACCTCATCCCCACTGCCAACAAACCCAGGCCCACTATCAGGAGCATCATCCCCATTTCCATCATGAACATCAGACACCATCACAGGCTGAACATGAAGACATACAACAGGAATAGGAGGAGAGAGAAGGACAACCCTAGACAGCTGCGTGCCCAGGCGGCAGGGGTGGTGAAGGAGGAAGAACTGCCCTCCTTGTCACTGAGGGCAGAGGCTAGTCACACAGTAGTGGAGGCCAAGGCGTAGGCTAGGAAGAGGCCCAAAGGAAGCACAAGCATACCTTGAAGTACTCCAGCAAGCCTCGGCAGGTCACTTTGGAGCCATTGATCTCCTTTTCCAAGAGCTGGCCTGGATCCAACACAAAGGGCACCAACTGCATCAGCTGCTCCTTGAACTCATCTGCAATGTCTGTGCAGAAAAGTGGGGGGGGGAAAGTGAACACAGAGGGATGGGGTCGACGCCAGTGGGTGATGGACAGTATAACACCATTTTACCACCCCATAGGAATCAGATGAATTCACATAGGTTTTGATTCAGCAGCTGTTCCAACTGCGAGCAATTAGAATTACAATAGAGTCTTGCTTATTCAACATAAATGGGTGGGTAAAATCATAGAATCATAGAATCAAAGAGTTGGAAGAGACCTCATGGGCCATCCAGTCCAACCCCCTGCCAAGAAGCAGGAATATTGCATTCAAATCACCCCTGACAGATGGCCATCCAGCCTCTGCTTAAAAGATTCCAAAGAAGGAGCCTCCACCACACTCCGGGGCAGAGAGTTCCACTGCTGAACGGCTCTCACAGTCAGGAAGTTCTTCCTAATGTTCAGATGGAATCTCCTCTCTTGTAGTTTGAAGCCATTGTTCCGCGTCCTAGTCTCCAAGGAAGCAGAAAACAATCTTGCTCCCTCCTCCCTGTGGCTTCCTCTCACATATTTATACATGGCTATCATATCTCCTCTCAGCCTTCTCTTCTTCAGGCTAAACATGCCCAGTTCCCTAAGCCGCTCCTCATAGGGCTTGTTCTCCAGACCCTTGATCATTTTAGTCGCTCTCCTCTGGACACATTCCAGCTTGTCAATATCTCTCTTGAATTGTGGTGCCCAGAATTGGACACAATATTCCAGGTGTGGTCTAACCAAGCAGAATAGAGGGGTAGCATTACTTCCCTAGATCTAGACACTAGGCTCCTATTGATTGCAGGCCAAAATCCCATTGGCTTTTTTTGCCGCAACATGACATTGTTGATTCATGTTTAACTTGTTGTCCACGAGGACTCCAAGATCTTTTTCACACGTCCTGCTCTCGAGCCAGGCATTGTCCCCCATTCTGTATCTTTGCATTTCATTTTTTCTGCCAAAGTGGAGTATCTTGCATTTGTCACTGTTGAACTTCATTTTGTTAGTTTTGGCCCATCTCTCTAATCTGTCAAGATCGTTTTGAATTCTGCTCCTGTCATCTGGACTATTGGCTATCCCTCCCAATTTGGTGTCGTCTGCAAACTTGATGATCATGCCTTCTAGCCCTTCATCTAAGTCATTAATAAAGATGTTGAAGAGGACCGGGCCCAGGACGGAACCCTGCGGCACTCCACTTGTCACTTCTTTCCAAGATGAAGAGGAAGCATTAGTGAGCACTCTCTGTGTTCGTCCACTTAACCAATTACAGATCCACCTCACCGTAGTTTTGCCTAGCCCACATTGGACTAGTTTCCTTGCCAGAAGGTCATGGGGGACCTTGTCGAAGGCCTTACTGAAATCCAGGTACGCTACATCCACGGCATTCCCCGCATCTACCCAGCTTGTAGCTCTATCGAAGAAAGAGATCAGATTAGTCTGGCGTGACTTGTTTTTGATAAATCCATGTTGACTATTAGCGATGACTGCATTTGTTTCTAAGTGTTTGCAGACCGCTTCCTTAACAATCTTTTCCAGAATCTTGCCCGGTATCGACGTGAGGCTGACCGGACGGTAGTTGTTTGGGTCATCCTTTTTTCCCTTGAAGATTGGGACCACATTGGCCCTCCTCCAATCTGCTGGAACTTCTCCCGTTCTCCAAGAACTCTCAAAGATGGTTGCCAATGGTTCCGAAATGACTTCTACTAGTTCCTTCAATACTCTGGGGTGTAGTTGATCTGGCCCTGGGGACTTGAACTCATTAAGAGCGGCCAGGTATTCCTGGACGACTTCTTTCCCAATTTGGGGTTGGATGTCCTCCAATCCCTCATCCACTCCATCTTGCTGAGGTTGAAGACTCTTTTTGTGAGAAGACCGAGGCAAAGAAGGCATTAAGTAGTTCTGCCTTTTCCCTATCCCCTGTCAGCATTGCCCCATCTTCTCCTCGAAGAGGTCCTATTGCCTCCTTGTTTTTCCTTTTTCTACTGACATAAGAATAGAAGCCCTTTTTATTGTTTTTAATGTCCCTGGCAAGTCTGAGCTCGTTTTTTGCTTTAGCCTTGCGGACCTTTTCCCTACAGGTGTTGGCTATTTGTTTGAATTCTTCTTTGGTGATTCCTCCCTTTTTCCACTTCTTGTGCATGTCTCTTTTGTGTCTTAGCACAGTTAGAAGTTCTTTGGACATCCATTCTGGCTTCTTTGCACTTGTCCTATTTTTTCTCTTTGTTGGCACGGTTTGCAATTGCGTCTTGAGTATTTCACTCTTGAGAAATTCCCATCCATCCGTAACTCCCTTGTCTTTTAGTATCTGTGTCCACGGAATGCTGCTCAGTGTTTCCTTCATTTTTTGGAAAATCAGCTCTCCTAAAGTCCAAAATGCGGGTTTGACTTGTCTTAGTTTCGGCCTTCCTTTGTACCTCAAATTGCAGGAGCACATGGTCACTTGCCCCTAAGGATCTGACCACTTCAACCGCATCGATCAGGTCCTCCGCATTTGTTAGGATGAGATCAAGAGTAGCCAATCCCCTTGTTGCCTCTTCTACCTTCTGGACCATGAAATTGTCTGCAAGGCAAGCGAGGAATTTGTTGGACCTTGTACTCTTGGCCGAGTTTGTTTTCCAGCAAATATCGGGATAGTTGAAATCGCCCATGACTACTACATCTCTTCTCTGTGCCTGTTTGGTCAACTGTTGGCAGAAGACTTCATCAAGTTCTTCCTCCTGGCTTGGGGGTCTGTAGTAGACGCCTACAACGACATCTTTTTGAGTCCCAGTTCCCTTGATTCTTATCCAGATGATTTCAAGCTGGTTTCCCAGATTGCTGTCTTGAATCTCTTCTGCAGCATAGGAGTTTTTGACATATAAGGCTACTCCGCCTCCTCTCCCCTTTGTTCGGTTTCTGTGAAAGAGGTTATACCCCTCGATATCTACATTCCAGCGATAGGAGTCATCCCACCAGGTTTCAGTGATCCCTATGATATCATATTTGTGGTGTTGTGCTAAAAGTTGGAGTTCGTCTTGTTTATTTCCCATGCTCTGTGCATTAGTGTAAAGACATGTGAGCCCCTGAGATCTTCCCTTGAGCTGTTTAATTGGGATTATTGTGCTTTTGGTACTTGGTCCTTGTTGTGTTTGTGCAGCCCTCCGTTTAGCCTTCTGGCGATTCCCAGACATTATGGGTAAAGTAGTGTTCGCAAGGCTGTTGTCCCCCTCCCCCGGTGGACCTAGTTTAAAGTGCGTCTAATGAGGTTTGCGAGTCTGTGAGCAAAAAGGTGTTTTCCTACTTGTGTGAGATGCACCCCATCCCTTGCCAGTAGGCCATCCTCCTGGAAAAGCAGGCCATGGTCGAGGAAGCCAAAGCGTTCCTCCTGACACCATTTTCTAAGCCAGTCATTGACCTGTACTATTTTTCTGGCTCTTGTGGGTCCGTGTCTTACAACCTGTGTTCCATGCGAGTGATCTGTTTACACTTGGGGCAGATGTAATTGAGTAATTGTAGTGTGAAAAAGCTGAACATGCCACAGCTTGTGCATGAGACGGGAAGTTTTCGTGTTTGTTCCATCTGGAGGTTGCTAATGACCTCCTCTTGGTGTGTGTTTGATGTTGTCTGTATGCAGGGGTGAAAGTATAGGTTACTGAGTGTACGAGTTCGACACTGGTACGACACTGGTTTATATAGGATAACCAGGAAGCCCCGCCTCTCAAACAAAGCAGTTAATTTTTAAACTCAGGAAGCCCCTCCTCTCAAACAAAGCAGTTAATTTTTAAACTCAGGAAGCCCCTCCTCTCAAACAAAGCAGTTAATTTTAAACTCAGGAAGCCCCTCCTCTCAAACAAAGCAGTGCTGAAAGCAGTTAAATTTAAACAAAGCTTACCCTGAAGCAGAAGGAAACAAAATGGGTTCCTGCTTCCTCAACTTCTGTGGAAAGCCCAGCTGCCCCTTGGGTAAAATGTATGTTTAAATGTAATTTTATGTAGTAGGATTGGAATTGTAATAGAATTGTATTGCCAGGATGTATGTTTACACAGAAGCCTGTGAGAACGTGACCCTGAATTCTTGCTGTGTGGAAGTTTAGGGAGTGCCAGAGATAACCTCCCTTCCAGCTGCAGTTTGTTTTAAGTGCCTATCTCTTTCGTTTTGTGTTCTTCATGTCTGTCCGCTGATGGTGTATGTAGTATTTTTGAACTGCTCAAGTAAAGCTGAAACCTGCTTTTTACCGGAGACTCCAGAGTCCATTATTCAGTGCTGCCGCGACTGTTTTTGCCCATGTTAACAACTTTTTCAGCCTAAAAAAAGGACTGAAAAACTAGGCTTATACTAGAGTATATACAGTAAATGGGCAGGAAAAATGTCAGATAAACAAAAATGTTGAATAATATGGAGTCTCCTACTGTTACTTGTCCGACAGGGTGCTAGACAATGTGATATGGCGGCAAAAACGCCAGTGGGATTTTGGCCTGCATCAATAGGAGTCTAGTGTCTAGATCCAGGGAAGTCAATGCTACCCATGCTCTATTCTGCCTTGGTTAGACCACACCTGGAATATTGTGTCCAATTCTGGGCACCACAATTGAAACAAGATGTTGACAAGCTGGAATGTGTCCAGAGGAGGGCAGCTAAAACGACCAAGGGTCTGGAGAACAAGCCCTATGAGGAGCGGCTTAAAAAGCTGGGCATGTTTAGCCTGAAGAAGAGAAAACTGAGAGGAGACATGATAACCATGTATAAGTACGTGAGAGGAAGCCACAGGGAGGAGGGAGCAAGCTTGTTTTCTGCTGCCCTGGAGACTAGGATGTGGAACAATGGCTTCAAACTACAAGAGAGGAGATTCCACCTGAACTGTGAGAGCCATTCAGCAGTGGAACTCTCTGCCCCGGAGTGTGGTAGAGGCTCCTTCTTTGGAAGCTTTTAAACAGAGCATGCACAGCCATCTGTTGGGGGTGCTTTGAATGCAACTTTCCTGTTTCTTGGCAGAATGAGGTGGGACTGGATGGCTCATGAGGTCTCTTCCAACTCTATGATTCTATGGTTCGCCACGGAGAGTGAAGAGAGCGCTGACTGGAAACAGCCAGGAAGGAAATGGTTTCTATGATTCTATGATCCTCTTGTTTCAGATGGAGATGTCTGTTAATAATACTACTACTACTAATAATAATAATAATAATCCCTTAATCTACATTTATACTAACAGGGACTCAAAGGGTTAAAGTAAGACAACGCCTTGGGGCTAGAGCGGCCCAGAAGGAAGTGTCGAATGCGGAGCGTGAAAATCACAGAGAGAAGGAGAGAGGATGGCTTCCGCTTCCGGTCCTGCCTCTTCTCCCCATTTCAGAGCCAAATGGGTGACTGAAATAGACATCTCAAAGTGATTCCTCACCCTTCCACCTTCCACATACTTCAAAAATATATATACACACAGATGACGCAGTCGGTACAAAACCCCCCCAAAAAACAAAGGTAAAACCCCCTCCTAGAATTTCAGTAAGTTATTTTCCTTACCTTCCAGACGTCCATCAAAATTTGGGCTGGTGGCCACTTTGAGGCCTGGATGTGGCAGAAGAAAACAGTTGACCTTCGTGAAGCACGAATGGATGTGCGTCCGGACATTTTGGATCTCCTCGTGCTGATGCGATTTCACCTGATGGCATAGGAGAGCGGGATCATCACACACTTAAAAAAAATAAAACAACACCAAAACAGAAGGATCTGCAAAGCCTCTAAAGCAGTGTTTCTCAACCTGGGGGTCGGGACCCCTGTGGGGGTCGCGAGGGGGTGTCAGAGGGGTCACCAAAGACCATCAGAAAACATAGTATTTTCTGTTGGTCATGGGGGTTCTGTGTGGAAAGTTTGGTCCAATTCTATCATTGGTGGGGTTCAGAATGCTATTTTACTGTGGGTGAACTATAAATCCCAACAACTACAACTCTCAAATGGCAAGGTCTATTTTCTCCAAACTCTACCAGTGTTCACATTTGGACATATTGGAGTATTTGGGCCAAGTTTGATCCAGATCCATCATTGCTTGAGTCCACAGTCTGGATATAGGTGAACTACAACTCCAAAAACTCAAGGTCAATGTTCACCAGACCTTCCCAATATTTTCTCTTGGTCATGGGAATTCTGTGTGCCATGTTTGATTCGATTCCATCATTGATGGAGTTCAGAAGGCTCTTTGATTTAAGGTGAACTATAAACCCCAGCAACTCCAGCATTACCAAATGACAAAATCAATCACCCCCAACCCCAGTAGTATTCAAATTTTGGGTGTATCGGGTATTCAATCGTTGGTGGGGTTCAAAATGCTCTGTGATTGTAGGTGAACTATAAATCCCAGCAACTACAATTCCCAAATGTCAAGACTCTATTTTCCCCAAACTCCACTAGTTTTCACACTTGGATATATTGTGTTTACATGCCAAATTTGGTCCAGATCCATCATTGTTTGAGTCCACAGTGCTCTCTGGATGCAGGTGAACTACAATTCCAAAACTCAAGGTCAATGCCCACCAAACCCTTCCAGTGTTTGCTCTTAGTCATGGGAGTCCTGTGTGTCAAGTTCGGTTCAATTCCATCATTGGTGGAGTTCAGAATGCTCTTTGATTGTAGGTGAACTATAAATCCCAGCAACTACAACTCCCAAATGACAAAATCAGTTGTTTTTTTTAGTGAAGGACATACATTGGGTTGTTAGGTGTCTTGTGTCCAAATTTGGTGTCAATTCGTCCAGGGGTTTTTGAGTTCTGTTAATCCCACAAACGAACATTACATTTTTATTTATATAGATATGGATTTTAACTGAATTTTAAAATACTATTTGGTTGTACTTTACCTCCAGCCGTTTCTCCAGGAACTTCATGCCGCCTTGCAGACCGTAATGATACTCGTACGGGAAGCTCCAGTCACGGACCAAGAACATCAGGGTCTGCGCAGAAGGTAGAAGAGGCAATCAGGTTGTAGCAACAACCAACAACAACAAAACAACAACATCCTGCTAAATTAGAATAGAGAGAACCAATCAAGTTGCTTCTAACAGTGGTTAACATGATATTCCAGCTTTTTCATGAGGGTATTCTGGCCACCAGGGGAGCTGTCGCTTCACTGTCCATTTGTGACACAGATGAAGTACTTCCTCATTCTTTGAATGCTTGCTGGAGATTTTTATGGTGTCGTAAATTAGCCTCCCCTAAATTTCCTACTTGACAGATACAACTATCTTTCGGGCTGTAAAGGACAACAGCAAGCTACACAAATTGGTCGGAAGTTCACTCCAACCCGGGCTGGCTTCGAACTCATGACTTTTCGGTCAGTAGAGATCTTAATGCAGCTGACTCTCAGCCAGCTGTGCCACAGTCCCGGTGATATACACAACAACAACTGCCCGGAAGCCATCTCCAGGCCCACAGTTCTTCCTCTCCTATCAATTTCACATTTGTTCCATCTACGGATGGAACAAATCAAGAACTTTGGTCCAAAAGCAAGGCGCTGGCTGCTGGAGCTGATGAACAACTGCACTGCATCCTGTCAGATCCCCAAAATCTGGAGGAAAGCAAGAGTCATTGCCATCTTGAAGCCAGGCAAAGACCGTAATGACCTAAAAAGCTATAGACCAATCCACCTCTACAAAGTTCTGGAGAGACTTATTTTGCATAGAATTACGGAAAAAATAGATCCCTGTCTGATCCCACAGCAAGCTGGCTTCAGGAAAGGCAGAAGCTGCACATCGCAAGTGCTGAACCTGACTCAGCACATCGAAGATGGCTTTGAAAGGCAGCAGATCACAGGCGCTGTCTTCATAGACCTGTCAGCGGCTTATGAGACTGTGAACCACCGCCTCCTCCTGAGAAAAATGTATAATATCACAAAGAACTGCCACCTCACCTGCCTCATAGGAAACCTGCTACAAAACAGGAGCTTCTTTGTTGAGTTCCAGGGCCAGAGAAGCAGATGGCGGAAACAGAAGAACAGCCTGCCTCAGGGGAGCGTGCTTGCTCCATCCATGTTCTCACATCCGTAGGTGACTATGGGGAATACCATTGCTTTGACTATGTGGATCTTTGTTGCCAGTGTGATGTCTCTACTCTCCACTATTTGATCAAGATTGGTCCTTGCTCTCCTCCCAAGAAGGAAACATCTACTGATTTCCTGGCTGCAGTCTGCGTCGGCAGTCATCTTCGCACCTAGAAGTCTGCCGCTGCCACGTTTTCTCCCTCTATTTACCAGTTATCAATCTGTCTGGTTACCATAATCTTGTTTTTTACAATGTTTAACTGCAACCCAGCTTTTGCACTTTCTTTCATCTTGGTTAGAAGGCTCCTCAGCTCCTCCTCGCTTTAGGCCATCAAAGCAGTATCATCTGCATATCTAAGGTTGCTAATGTTTATTAATCCAAAATGTTCAGGGTGAGAAGGGTGGCATATAAATGTCGTAAATAACAAATAACTAAATAATAAGTGGTATCATCTGCATATTTGAAGTTGCTAATGTTTCATCCAGCAATTTTAACTCCAGATTTGGATTTGTCAGCAACTGATTCGTCAGCAATTTTAACTCCAGCCTGGGGACTCTATACATAATATAATGTATAGGCTATTACTATATTTTAAAGCTGAGGCTTCCAGAAGGTAGCCTGCACTATATGAGAAAGGTAGTAGGGTAGGCACTCCATTTTCACAGGGGTATAGGAACCTTGCAAAAGTGGGAAATAAAAAAGTGATATTTTTCTTACCCAAAATAAGGGGAAAAATCCTATAAAGCAGCGTTTCTCAACCTGTGGGTCGGGACCCCTGAGGAGGTAGCAAGGGGGTGTCAGAGGGGTCACCAAAGACCATCAGAAAATACAGTATTGGGGATTCTGTGTGGGAAGTTTGGCCCAATTCTATCGTTGGTGAGGTTCAGAATGCTCTTGGATTGCAGGTGAACTACAAATCCCAGCAACTACAACTCCCAAATGTCAAGATTCTATTTTCCCCAAATTCCACCAGTGTTCACATCTGGGTATATTGAGTATTTGTGTAGAGTTTGGTCCAGATCCATCATTGTTTGAGTGCACAGTGATCTCTGGATGTAGGTGAACTACAACTCCAAAACCAAAGGACACTGCCCACCAAACCCATCCAGTATTTTCTGTTGGTCATGGGAGAACTGTATGCCAAGCTTGGTTCAATTCCATCGTTGGTGGGATTCAGAATGCTCTTTAATTGTAGATGAACTATAATTCCCAGCAATTACAACTCCCAAATGTCAAGGTCTATTTCCTCCCAATTCCACCAGTGTTCACATTGGAGCATATTTAGTATCCGTGCCAAGTTTGGTTCAGATTCATCCATAGTTCTGTCTGGATGCAGGTGAACTACAACTCTAAAACTCAAGGCCAATGCCCACCAAACCCTTCTAGTATTTTCTGTTGGTCATGGGAGTTCTGTGTGCCAAATTTGGTTCAATTCCATTGTTGGTGGAGTTCAGAATGCTCTGATTGTAGGTGAACTATAAATCCCAGCAACTACAACTCCCAAATGACAAAATCACCCCCCCTCCCAACCCCACCAGTATTCAAATTTGGGTGTATTTGGTATTTGTGCCACATCCTGCCTATCAGATATTTCCATGACGATTCATAACAGGAGCAAAATGCCAGTTATGAAGTAGCAACGAAAATAATGTTATGGTTGGGGGTCAACACAACACGAGGAACTGTATTAAGGGGTCGCGGCATCAGGAGGGTTGAGAAACACTGCTCTAAAGTCAATCAATGAACTGAAACTTCAATTCGCCAAATGTCCCATCTGTTCACCAAAATGTCATACCGTTTTTACAATAATCAAAGATACGAAGTATGGGGTGCCTGAAACGTCCCCTGTTATGGAAGACGTACCTGGAATGGCTTGAGGAATATCTCATCCATGGCCAAGCGCCCGTATTCAGTGAAGAGCTACAAAAGGAGATGTTTCAAAATGTTAACAACAGAGGAAAAGTGTTCCTGCCATACATCAAGGGAACCACTGACCGCATAGGGAAGCTGATGAGGAAACACAACATACAAACTATCTACAGACCCACCAAGAAAATCCAACAAATGCTACGTTCAGCAAAGGACAAGAGGGATCCTCTCACCTCTGCAGGAGTCTACCGTATACCATGCAGCTGTGGACAAGTCTCCATAGGGACCACCAAACGCAGCAGCATCGCCCAGACACGAAAGAAGGAACATGAAAGGCACTGCAGACTACTTCAACCAGAGAAGTCAGCCATAGCAGAGCACCTGATGAAGCAACCTGGACACAGCATATTATTGAGAACACAGAAATGCTGGACCACTCTAACAACCACCATGTCAGACTACACAGGGAAGCCATTGAAATCCACAAGCATGTGGACAATTTCAACAGAAAGGAGGAAACCATGAAAATGAACAAAATCTGGCTACTAGTATTAAAAAACTCTAAAATTATAACAGCTAAACAACAGAGAGGAAAAAACCAGGCACAGATTAACAGCAACAGATTTTCCCAGGCTCAGGCAGGCCTTCAAATGCTAATGAAGGTGATCAGCTAAACATTCACACCTAGCTCCAGCAGGGAAGAGCTCTTTGTCCCACCCCAGCCATTCCACAGATATATAAACCCATTGTCCTATTCCAACAGACCTCACTACCTCTGAGGATGCTTGCCATAGATGCAGGCGAAACGTCAGGAGAAATGCCTCTAGAACATGGCCCTATAGCTCGAAAAAACCCACAAGAACCTAGTCTCATCTCTTCCTCGTCCTCATTTTAAAGACTAATAATAATAATAATAATAATAATAATAATAATACTTTATTTGTACCCTGCTACCATCTCCCCAAGGGACTCAGTGCGGCTTACACGAGGCCAAGCCCACAGCGCATACAATAAACAAAAGCAATAACAATAATCAATACAAATAAATTCAAAACAGAAAATACACAATAAGCAATAACAATAACGTATCACAATATTCAGCATTTAAATACCTATGGCCGGGCCAAATGTAATAATTCAAATTCAAAATCAAAAAGTGCTGGGCGTGAACAAGGTAAGGCAAATTAAAACAGGGTTTCCAGAGAGAGATGAGGGCGCGCAGACAACCCTAAATCAATATTAAAGTGCATTTGAGGACATATTGCTAAGAGTTTTCCTTATTCTGGGAAGGCATGCTGAAACAACCACGTTTTCAGGCTCCTCCTAAAGCAGTGGTTCTCAACCTGGGGGTCGCGACTCCCAGGGGGGTCGCCTGGCCATTTCGGAGGGGTCGCGAGGCCACCTCCACTGGCCCCGCCCCAAGGGCGTGGGCCAGGTGAGGGCTCCTTCACGCGAGGCCTGGCCTCGTGCAAAGCCCGCCTCACACTCTAGTCATCCAGTGAAGGGTCCTCCGCACGAGGCCTGGCCTCATGCAAATCCTGCCTCGCTTGCCTCGTGCTCTCGCCATCCAAGGCAGGCGAGGTTGGGGGTCACCACAACATGGTTGGGGGTCACCACAACATGAGGAACCATATTTAGGGGTCCCGGTGTTAGAAAGGTTGAGAACCACTGTCCTAAAGACTGCCAGCGTTGGGGCATGTCTGATGTCCTTGGGAAGTGAGTTCCACAGTCAAGGGGCCACCACCAAGAAGGCCCTGTCCCTCGTCCCCACCAATTGCGCTTGCAAAGGAGGTGGGAGCGAGAGCAAGGCCTCTCCAGATGATCAGAGTGATCGTGTGGGTTCGTACACAGAAATGCGGTCACGCAGGTAGGCGGGTCCCAAACCGTTCAGGGCTTTGTAGATAAGAACCTGCACCTTGAATTGGGACCGGAAAATGAACGGCGGCCAGTGGAGTTCCTTAAATTACTTAAACAGGAGGGTTGACCACTCCCTGTAAGAAGCACCAGTTAACAACCTGGCTACCGCCCGTTATACCAGTTGAAATTTCCGGGCCGTTTTCAAGGGCAGCCCCATGTAGAGTGTATTACAGTAATCCAATCTGGAGGTGACTAAGGCATGGACCACCCTGGCCATAAACAATGCGGCGGTCCAGAAATGAAGTTTTGCACCTACTGCAACAAGTTAACACAATATATTCAGTATCACACAAGAACTTATCCAGTCCAAGTCTTGCATTCCTCAGAGCATACTGATACGTCACCTGTAGCTGCTGCAAATCGTCTTCCTGGATGTTCTGGGACAGGTTGTATATCTAGAAGGAAAAGAAGACAATTAGAGGCAGTCCCCAAGTTATGAACAAGAAAGGATCTGTAGGTATGTCCTTAAGTTTAATTTGTCGGAACAGGGATATTTTGCAAGTGTAACTCCCGCCAAGTCAGTCTCAGTCTGAATTGTCCCAGATCTAGTTGCATATACTATAGTCCCTCCCAAAACGTCAACCAACATAGAGTTAAGGGAAAGCTGCATATCAAAATGTACATCCAATACAGTAAGCAATTTGAATTATATATAACAAACTAGCTGTGCCCTGCCACGCGTTGCTGTGGCCTGTAGTAAGAATTTTCGAAGTAGAGGTAGATATCTGGACTGTTATGAAAGAGAGGTACCTATTCCTTCCCCCCTTTTTCTTTCCCTTCCCCTTTTTCTCCTTTCTTCCTTCTCTACCTGTTTCTTTCATTCCTTCTTTCACTCTTTGGTTTCATCCTTCCTTCTCTCTTTCCTTCCTTCCCTCCCCCTTTCTCTACTTCTTCCTTTGTCTCATTTCTTCCTTCCGTTTCCTTGCTTCTTTCACTGTTTATTTCCTTTTCTCCTTCCTTCTTTACCTCTTTCCTGCCTTTCCTTTCATTGACCTTGGGGGCTGCTTGGATGTCTAGCTCAGCTGCAATTAATGAGGAGGCGGAACTGGGCTCTCCCCTTCCTTCCTTCCTTCCTTCCTTCCTTCCTTCCTTCCTTCCTTCCTTCCTTCCTTCCTTCCTCGGCACACTCTGCTTCATTAGGGCGGGGCTTACTGGGACCCATGATGGCGGCACCCAAGGGGAGAGCTAAAGAGGAAGGGAAGACATGAAGGAAGGAGTTTTGTTGCCAAATTTGGTGGGTATTGGCCCAGTAGTTCTTTTGTTTTTAAGCCACTCATTATGACAGGAACCATTATATATATATAGATAACTAGTATAGGAGGTTTGTAGAAGGTTGTTATTTCCAACAAGGTTTGACACATAAAGCCATCCCAGGAGGACTCACTTGAACAGAACTCGTCATGGTGCTGAGTGCGAAAATGGTGGCACAGTCCTTGACCGTCGACTGGCTGTCAAAGGCTCCCTGAGTGTCCATCAGCACAACCGCCACCTGGAAGATGGGCCAAGATGTGAAGGCCAAAGAGTGCTTTTACTGTCTGCCCTTCTAGAAAGATTGACATTCCAAAACGATGCCGCAGATGCCATCACTTCCCCTACCTTCTTCCCATTGGGTTTCTCCACGATGAAGACTTCACTCCAGATCTGGATGCCAGTCGTGTCGGGCTCGGAGCCACCACGCCAAGAGAAGCCTGTCAAGGGTTCGTCCTTGCTGCCCAGCCACTCGGTGCTGCCTCCTGCTTTCTACAGAATGGTGGGAAGCAATGCATCAGGGAAACACCTTCTACATCCCAGGATACAGAAACTTCAGCCCTCTAAGTGTTTTGGACTTGAACTCCCACAATTCCCAACAGCCGGTGGTGTCACAAGAAATATAATATCCAGATCTGATAAATGTGGATTTGATATGTGTGGGTATGAAAGGTGAATCAGCGAGAGCTAATAATTTTGGAAACACCAGTCTGAAGATTAAAGTGTGCAACAACTAACTGCCTGCTTGCTGGGACTGTAATTAAAAGTTGCTAATAAGAACTGAACAATAAAGTGTGTTAAGAACTGTGACCGTGATAAGATTAATGTTTACATCTGTTTCCATCTGTCTGTGATAAGATTAATGTTTACATCTGTTTCCATCTGTCAACATTTGCAGACCAGAAACCAGATTAACTCTAAAGGAAAGGATCTGTTTACATTAGTCAAAGACAATGTTCTTTCAAGTCAAACCCAGAACACAATGGTGTCCTTATATGTCTAATCTATGTCAGGAGGTGAAGAATCAAGATAATCTCAAACAAGACAACTGTTTATTACATCAGCAGAATATTCCTATAAAAGACTCACTGTAATAATTCTCAAGTGTGGCAGACCAGAGGAGTCTGGCTCACCCACTCTGCTCTGCTCCATGGGAATGACAGAGGTGCTGTATGGAGAGTGTCAGATTTGCTATGGGAAAGCATGATTCTGTACACTTTGGCCTTCTTTCTCAAGGGAAGAGGAAGGAGTACGCTTTGGAGTCATTTTATGAAGAGTCATTTTATGAGGGTGGAGCTTAAGAAAAACCTTTCCTGGTTTGTGTCAGCCATTTTGCCCGCCCCTTTGCCTGAGGAAAGGGAACCATTTTAGATCATAGACCACAAGGGAATCTTGGAAGGAAGACATGTCTGCAGTTGGCGCCAGTGAGATCCAAGCTTGGATGATGATGATAATAATAATAATATACTACTAATAATAATAACAACAACTGCCACCATGTCACCTGCATGGTGGCAGTCTCACCTGCATGTAAAGGTAACGTAGTAGGAAGTCCAGGAGGAACGATTTGCCCTTCCGGAAAGCACCGGCCACCGAAACCACCACCACGTCGAGGTCCCGGATGTCATCCTGCAGCAGGACACGGCTCAGGGCCTTCTCATCGAGCTCGAAGGAGTGCTGCGCCTTGTGCACAAGCACGATTTGCACGGGGCCTGGCTTGGCACGGAACATGGCATCTCCCCCTGCGCCGGCCAAGGGAAGAAATAGAAGGACAACATGAGTGAAGATCGAGAATCCTGCTAGCAAATTAGTAATAACCTACAAGAACTTGAAACCCTGTGATCGATGGGGACGATGGCAAAACCATTGTATGCCATCCAATTGTCCCATCATCCACGCATTTGAGCTTCTGGGAAGAAGTCCGCCAGGCAGAAGGAGGGAAGATGGTTGCCGCCTTCAAAGTGGCTTTCCCAGTTAGTCTGGTGCTCAGGTTTGGCCTCATTAACAGAGCATTAACTTGTAATAGTGAATTAATACCACGTCGAGGCAAAATCGGACACGTTTGGAGTTGCTATCGATGTTCCCGCACGATGCATGCATATGCAATAGCCATACGTGCCTCGTTCTTCAGATGCAATGGATGGGCATATTAAATTTTAAAGAACCATCTTTAGACTACTGCGAGTGCCCTGCCTTAAAATATTTATTATCCTTTCGATACAACCAATTCCCCTATAAGACTTTTATTGAACATTTCAGCCACATTAGCTGGACTTCGCTTATCACAGCCTACGGCACCTGATAGCCATTGCCAATCTCCCACTCAAAAATGAACCAGAGCTGACCCTGCTTAGCTTCCAAAATCAGTGCTTTTAGGGTATTTTGACCATTCAGGTTCTGCATTTAGGCAGAGAGAAAAAAAGATGCAAAGTATACAGATCACATTTGACTGGACAACAAAATGTGCCAGAAGAGTCTAACTATAATGCACAGATATCTATGTAACAATGCAACAATATCAGTTCCAATAGCAAAGAACACTTCAAAACAATAATAATTCCACAATTATTTTAGTCTTGCTTCCCAATTCCAACTCGGTTCTAATTGTGACTCTACTGTAACTCTCAACATGGTCTACATAAATGTTCAAAGGGAATTAGTACACTTGATTTGAGCCATAGGATATATATGCTACAACCTATTATTATTATTATTCAACTTTATTTGTACCCCGCTAGCATCTCCCGAAGGATTCGATGCGGCTTACAAAGGCCAAGGCCTCAACACACAACACAACAATACAATCTAAGCAAATCAAACAATTAAAAACAGAATAAAGCAAAATAAACAACAGGCACAATACACTAAACACAATAAAACTGGGCCGGGCCAAAGTAATGGGTACAAGATTAAAAGTGCTGATGTGACAGGAGGTGTACATAGGGCTTCCAGGGCAAGTGCGATGTGCAGCAATCATTGGTTCTGATAAAGTGCTTATGGGACTTGGTAGTGAAGATTTCCTAATCTGGGAAGGCGCATCAGAAAAGCCAGGTCTTCAAGTTCTTTCTGAAGACTGCCAATGTAGGGGCCTGTCTAAGGTCTTTGGGGAGGGTGTTCCAGAGTCGGGGGGCCACCACGGAAAAGGCCCTGTCCCGTGTCCCCACCAAGCACGCTTGCGACGCAGGTGGGATCACGAACAGGGCCTCTCCAGATGACCCAAGTGAACGTGTGGGTTCGTAGATGGAAATGCGGTCACGCAGGTAGGGTGGTCCCAAACCGTTCAGGGCTTTGTAGGTAAGCACCTGCACCTTAAATTGGGCTCGGAATATAAACGGCAGCCAGTGGAGCTCCTTGAACAGAAGGGTTGACCTCTCTCTGTAAGGGGCCCCAGTTAGCATCCTGGCTGCTGATCGTTGGACCAGTTGGAGCTTCCAAGCCGTCTTCAAGGGCAGCCCCACGTAGAGCGCATTGCAGTAATCCAATCTGGAGGTGACCAAGGCATGGACCACTCCGGCCAGATCCGCCTTCGCGAGGTACGGTCGCAGTTGGTGCACGAGTCTCAGTTGTGCGAAAGCCCTCCCAGACACCACCGACGCCTGAGCCTCAAGCGTAAGCATTGAATCCAAGAGGACTCCCAAACTGCGGACTTGTAATAGTGAATTAATACCACGTCGAGGCAAAATCGGACACGTTTGGAGTTGCTATCGATGTTTCCACACAATACATGCATATGCAATATTTGTACACGCCTCGCTCTTAGGATGCAATGGATGGGCATATTAAATTTTAAAGAACCATCTTTAGAGTACCGCAAGTGCCCTGCCTTAAAATATTTACTATCCTTTCAATACAACCAATTCCCCTATAAGGCTTTTATCGGGCATCACACTTCAGCCATGTTAGCTGGACTTCACTTATTTCTTGTCCTCTGAAACACAGCCTACGGCACCTGATAGCCATTGCCAATCTCCCACTCAAAAATGAACCAGAGCTGACCCTGCTTAGCTTCCAATTTCTTAGCTGGACTATTTCAACAGAAAGGAGGAAACCATGAAAATGAACAAAATCTGGCTACCAATATTAAAAAAAACCTCTAAAATTACAACAGCAAAACAACAGAGGGAAACAATCAGGGACATCTAATCACCTCTCAACAAAAGATTGCCCCAGGCACTGTCAGGCCATCAAATGCTAATCAAGGTGGTCAGTTGAAACATTCACACCTAGCTCCAACAGACAAGAGTCCTTTGTCCCACCCTGGTCATTCCACAGATATATAAACCCTTTTCCTAGTTCCAACAGACCTCACTACCTCTGAGGATGCTTGCCATAGATGCAGGCGAAACGTCAGGAGAGAATGCCTCTAGACCAAGGCCATATAGCCCTGAAAACCTACAACAACCCAATTCAGATATTGTTGCCTGTCTGCAATTCATATATTGATCAAATGAATGGAGGTGTGTCTGTACCTTGCAATACAATTGCTGTGCCAGCCTTCGCAAGATTAATGATCAAAGAACTATCAAGGCTCTTTCTGGACTTCTGTTTCTTTTATTTATAGGAGCCATTCAGACATTCAACTGAAACACCCAACATTGTAATAGTTGGCAAAGGTTGCTAGCAGTTGTAGTTTAGAAGCGCTTTGTATATAAGACAAAAGGGTTAACTATATCTCGCTGGAATAGCCTGCTGGAGGCGGTGAGGGCCAAAGAGTTCTATCTCTTGTTTTAATCTGCTGAGCTAGGTGTGAATGTTTCAACTGACCACTTCATATAGCATTTAGAAGGCGACCTGGCCCTGAGCTGGGCAAAATACTACTCGCTAGGGAGTGTTAATCTGTGCCCTGATTGTTTCCTCTCTGCTGTTTTGCTGTTGTAATTTTAGAGTTTTTTAAATACTGGTAGCCAGATTTTGTTCATTTTCATGGTCTCTTCCTTTCTGTTGAAATTGTCCACATGCTTGTGGATTTCAATGGCTTCTCTGTGTAGTCTGACATGGTGGTTGTTGGTGTGGTCCAGCATTTCTGTGTTCTCAAATAATATGCTGTGTCCAGGTTGGTTCATCGGTGCTCTGTATGAGCTGAATCTACTCCTTTTTGTTGCGTTGAAGCTAGTATGCAGATGCCCTTTACATAAAAGTTCCTTGATGCGTCGGTCCTCCTACCTGGCCCAATGCTAGCGTTATGCGTGATCCCTCTGTAGAATCTAGATCCACAGCTGCACATGCCGTATACGGTTAGATCCTGCCAGAGCCCTGACGATAGAGTATGAGCGACCGATCCCTCTAGGTAACTCTTTAGCTGAACCGCCGAGACATTATCACCGTTGGAGAATTCTTCATGATAACGATAGGGATCGTAGATATGTTTGTATAGATTGTAGTTTCCTCCATCAGGTTCCCTAATCCAGCGGGCGAGTGCGTTCCTACTGATGCTATGAGTAGGAAACACTTTTCCTTATGCGGTGGATCTTGTCTTGACTCTCGTGGCTTCTTCTCGGTTGTCTTGCAGCTCTTCTGATGTCTGAGGTGGAGTATCCATTGGCCTGGAGAGCCCAGTTGAGGTGGTTCAGTCCATCTTGGAGAAGTTGGGGTTTGCAGATTCTTTTTGCACGGTCTGCCATGGCTTGAATGGGGCTTCTTTTTTGACTTGGGTGATGGTTGGAGTTTTTGTGTAGATATCTATCTGTGTGTGTGGGTTTTCTGTAGACGGTGTGACCCAATTGTTGATCTGGTTTGCGGATGACTAGGACATCTAGAAAAGGCAGTCTTCCTTCATTTTCTTTCTCCTGGACTGTTTTAGAGTACTTTGACAATTCAGGTTCTACATTTAGGCAGAGAGAAAAAATGCAACGTATACAGATCACATTTAACTGGACAGCAAAATGTGTCAGAAGAATCTAAGCCATCTTGGTAAACCACAAGCCTAAACATGAGTCAACAGAATGATGTGGCAGCCAGACAAAAACTCAGTTACTCCATTTCTAGCGTGCAATGATAGGGAGATAGAGTATCTGAATCAAAAGAAATAATAGTTGCTTTGAGTCTCCTTGCGAAGAGAAAAAGAAGGGTATAAATAAACATGATGATGATGATAATAATAATAATAGTACTACCAATTCTGGGCATCATAGTTTAGGAAGGATATTGACAAGCTGGGAGACAAACCAGAGAAAAGCAATGTAAATGGTTTGAAAGCAATGAAGAACAATGGAGAGAGCTGGGAATGTTTAGCCTGGAGAAGACAAATCAGAGGTGTTTCGGCAGCAATCTTTGAAGCTGTTATATAGAAGATAAAATGTACTGGTTTTCTGCTGTGCTGTAGAGAGCAAACAAAAGAGATCAAATAACAATGGAGAAGAGTGTCCTGATGATAAGAACTATTTGACAGTAGATATTAGTAGAAGTCGGAGACCTATCTCTCAGGGAAGGTTCATCCATTGATTTCGATAAGCCTGGAGGTTTCTTCCGACTCTGCAATTCCACAAATTCTTGCCATTTTTAATTTTCTCGGGAGGAAAAACCTTTGTAAGGAGTGGTAGAGTTTCAAGCATCAGCAGATAGGAATGTGTCCTGGGGCAAAAAGGGAGTCAAGACAGCACAGCAGACTGACTAAGGTGGCCAACTAAGATGGGGGAAAGTGTGGTGGAGTCTCTTTTTCTGGAGGTTTTAGAGCAGAAGATGTATTTATTTATTTTATTTATTTATTTACTACATTTGTATACCCCCTTTCTCAGCCCTCAGG